GGCCTAGACCCTTCATCAGAAAAAGGGTCTAGGCCCGAAACGTCAGCCTCTCTGCTCCTATGATGCTGCTTGGCCTGCTGTGTTCATCCAGCCCTGCACCTTGTTGTCTCTAAGCTAACATGAGTACAGATTTTAACTTAAATAGCGAGGAGGCATATTTATATTTTCTCTACTTAAAGTTAAAAACCTTCTATCCTGCTTACAGAAGTAAAAAATAGTCTGCTTCCTGACATAAAAGTTAAGATACAGCAGTCCAAATGATTCTTACAGGATTAAAAGTTGAATCAGCAGTCAAAACACTTTTTTCAGGCTTGAAACTAACATCAACAGTCAAAGGATACTATTAGTTTAACTGTACAACCGTCCTGTTTGAAAATAAAACAGCTTCTTAAGCACTGAAAAGTGATTTTTACCTGGAGAAGCTAACCTGTGTGTAGCGGTCAGTTAGTTCTGCCATTTTGTTTTCTTCAATTCAGTGTCAGAGGTGGTTTGATGTCATCTGTCCCTGTTTGGTGTTATCACCCTCTACTGGCTGGAAATTGCCATGCCTTTTTTTAAAGACGTAGACTTGCATTTAGCAAAACCTTCTTAATAAGGTCACAACCGTGCAAAGTCAAGTAAAATAGAAACAAAAGAAGGAATAATATATAAGAACAAAACTGTGAACCAAGTAACAAAGTAACAAACAAGCCCTGAACTTACTTCAATAATACGAAAAACTGTAGATCTGCAACAAGAAATAGAAGCAAGCATTTGATAATGTAGTAGGCAGTAATTGATATCTCCACTAAGCCACAGCTATTTAAGCAACTATGCAGTTTTACTTCATAGATCAAGCCATAAATGATCCTGAGAAGAGACTTCTAAAAATATTACCTGCCATTGGCAATGGGGGACTTCACCAGATAAACACATTGGCCTTTCTGAGGAAAAGAAAACCCAAAGAGGATTTGGAGAATGCTTGAAAACTGGCCCAAGCTATAAATCAAATCCTATATCAACAGACTCCAATTCTCATGAGTCTGTTGATAACTTTGTCACTAGATGACATAGCAAAGGAAATGAGTATAATTTCTCTGAATAAAACTCATAAAGAGACTGCACGAGTTCATACTCACCATTACTCTGATCGAAGCTTTCAGGAAAGATCTATTGGATAGCAAAAGGCCATACCATTGATGCCTTTGTTGGAAGATGGACCCCAGCATGAAGAAATAGGGACAGGTCAATTCCATGCTTTGGGTGTAGACAACATTATGGCTATGATCAGAAAAATGCACGAAACCAGCAAGATCTATCGAAGATGTAGTTTGACTTACCCTCCCAGAGGTTTCCAGCATTTTCTCATATCTATAAAGCATGTGGCACCAAGAGGTTTTATGCACATGTTTGCAGAGAATCTGGTTTCAAAAGAACAAGAACTAGATCCTAGTACAAGACCCAGGTTATCTGCAAAATGGTAAAACATCACAACATTGGGAGCACAGAAACATGCATAATTAAGCATAAATGTCTGTGCAGTAAACAAACGGAAAAAAAAGCCTTTAAAAGATGGCCAATCCTGGTATTGTCAACATCACATACCACATTGACAGTATAAGTTGTGTGCAGGCTTTTGATCATCATCAACATTACATGCCTCCAAAAGACGCACCCTGAAGGCTAAAATTGATGTGGGAGCTAGTGCCAACATATTACCATGACACATGCTAAAACATGCACAATCCAACAAGCATGTTATTCCACTCTGCAACCTAGAAATGACCATCTCACAGCATAAAATAGGTCCTCAATTCCGTGCAGTGGCACAATTGTACTACAGTGCCATTATGAAAGTTCAGCTTGGATTCATGAAATCTTCTACCAGGCAGATATCAATGAACTAGAAGAGGCAAGAGTACCTGTGTGCACAGGTCTCAACATCATGACCATTCGTGAGATTGAAACCAGACCCATGGCACTGAGCCAGTCACAGGACACCACTCTTCAAAGATGGAGGAGAATGAAATAGATGCACAGTCAGTGAGTGAGTAGAGAACAACCACAGCTATTCACCAGGCAGAAAGTTTGAGTCAGAAATCTATCACAATTACTTGCATACCAGCAAAGGTTTCTCAGAAATGCAACCAGTCCAGGTTGAATGTAATCATTGCTGTTCATAGTGCTACATTGTGAAGGAACAGAATCCAGTTCAGACCAATGTCCAATATGCCAATCATGCACATACAGATTGGAGAAGAAAACTCTGATGATGAACATTGAGTGATGCTAAGTGACTGCAACCGACAGCCAGACATCAAAGTTGTCATCTAAGAGACGCCAAAAATGTCACATGCATCTCCAGATGACTATATGATCAATATAGAGTCTTAGAGTCATGCAACATGGAAACAGACACTTCAGTCCAACTCGCCCACATGGACTAGACATGGCAATTTCACTTTGTCTCATTTGCCAGCATTTGACCCATATCCCTCTAAACCCGTCCCATTCATATACCCATCCAGATGCCTTTTAAATGTTCTAATTGAACCAGCTTCCATCACTTCCTCTGGCAGCTCATTCCATACACACACCATCCTCTGCGTGAAGAAGTTATCCCCCAGATCCCTTTTAAATCGTTCCCCTCTCACCTTAAAACGATGCTGTCTAGTTTTAGACTCCCTCACCTTAAGAAAGAGAGATAGTAGGAACTGCAGATGCTGGAGAATCCGAGACAATAAGGTGCAGAGCTAGGTGAACACAGCAGGCCAAGCAGCATCATAGGAGCAGAAAGGCTGACGTTTCGGGCCTAGACCCTTCATCAGAAAGAGACCTTGGCTATTCACCCTATCCATGCCCCTTATGATTTTTTCAGCCTCTGTATGGTCACCCCTCAGCCTCCGATGTTCCAGGGAAAATAGCCGCAGCCAATTTAACGTCTCCCTACAGCTAAAACCCTCCAGTCCCAGCTAAATCCTTATAAATATTTTTGCACCTCCTCAAGTTTAACAAATCAGAATGGTTGTCAAACATTCAGAATCGATCCATCCAAATTGAAATTTAGCAGGAAGAATTAAGCATCAGCCTTATTCAACCCTTTTATGTTGTCTTGTTTGTGCATTTATTTATTCTAGTGCTCCCACAAAGTTTTACCACAGTGACTGTAACTTGGAAAGTGTATAAGAAGCGCTGCTGCGTTTTCACTGAAGGCATGTAAAATTCTTTGGTGTTCGACATGGAACAGCTGTAGGCACTGAGACCCTACTGACTGCAGCATCTCGATATGGGCTGGATGTGTGTGAGTAACCAGGGCATTAGTGCCAGCACCTGATGTGAGTGAAGACATGCTGGTTTCCTGATTTGGGATAACAGGTTCTTTCTTATGCATCTAAGATCTGATGCCTCTGAAGCAATTCCCATTAACACTCATCTCTGCAACTAAGACATCACACACCATATTGACAGTATAAGTTGTGTACAGACTTTTGATCATCATCAACATCACATGTCTCCGAAAGACGCAGCCTGGAGACTAAAATTGATGTGGAAGCTAGTGCCAACATATTACCATGACCCATCCTAAAACATGCACAATCCAACAAGCAGGTGCAGAGCTGGATGAACACGCAGGCCAAGCAGCTTCATAGGAGCAGAAAGGCTGACGTTTCGGGCCTAGACCCTTCATCAGAAATGGGGGAGGGGAAGGGGGTTCTGAAATAAATAAGGAGAGAGGGGGAGGCGGATACAAGATGGATAGAGGAGAGGATAGGTGGAGATGAAACAGACAGGTCGAAGAGGCGGGGATGGAGTCAGTAAAGGTGAGTGTAGGTGGGGAGTTAGGGAGGGAATAGGTCAGTCCAGGGAGGACAGAAGGTCAAGGGGGCGGGATGAGGTTAGTAGGTAGGAGATGGGGGTGCAGCTTGAGGTGGGAGGAGGAGATAGGTGTGAGGAAGAACAGGTTAGGGAGGCGGGGACGAGCTGGACTGGTTTTAGGATGCGGTAGGGGGAGGGGAGATTTTGAAGCCTGTGAAATCCACATTGATACCATTGGGCTGCAGGGTTCCCAAGTGGAATATGAGTTGCTGTTCCTGCAACCTTCGGGTGGCATCATTGTACCCTGGACTGACCTATTCCCTCCCTAACTCCCCACCTACACTCACCTTTACTGGCTCCATCCCCGCCTCTTCGACCTGTCTGTTTCCTCTCCACCTATCCTCTCCTCTATCCATCTTCTATCTGCCTCCCCCTCTCTCCCTATTTATTTCAGAACCCCCTTCCCCTCTCCCATTTCTGATGAAGGGTCTAGGCCCGAAACGTCAGCCTTTCTGCTCCTATGATGCTGCTTGGCCTGCTGTGTTCATCCAGCTCTGTACCTTGTTGTGTCAGATTCTCCAGCATCTGCAGTTCCTACTATCTCCAATGCAACAAGCATGTTGCTCCACTCTGCAACCTAGAAATGACCATCTCACAGCATAAAATAGGTCCTCAATTCCATGCAGTGGTACAATTGCACTACAGTGCCATTATGAAAATTCAGCTTGGATTCATGAAATCTTTTCTCATATGGCACCACGATGCGCTGCAATGGGAGCTGTTAACAGAGTATGTGCCATGTAGAGCACCATTGTTGAAACTTCTGGCAAGATGGTAGCAGAGTAAGATGCTCCTGCTGGAGCTCCTCTGCTCCGCATGTTCTTTTTCTTTCTTTTCCTTTGTTTCTCTCTTTTTTCTTTTTCTCTCCCTTTAGTTCCAAAGGCGAATCTGGAGCAGCAGCAGGTGCGAGCAACGAGGGCAGTGAGCACTGAAGCAGTGCGTGGGCAGTGAGTCCCAAGCAGAGACTGGCGAGGGGGAGGCAGTCCTGGAACTTACTTGGAGTAGCTGAGTGCTGGTTCAGAGCGGACTGGAGGCTTGGAGTGGAGCAGAGACATCTGTTGGACTGGGAGCTGGCACAAGCGGTCAGACCACATGTGGGGACTCTGTGCTGAGCTGCCCCAATGTATGTTTATTTGAAATTTTTTTACCTGACTGTAATGTCAAACTTTTAACAATGTCTCATTTCTAACTTATTTTTTTAAACTTTGTAAAGTAATGTAACTACTTTTTGTTCCTCTTTTGTACGCAAGATTTCTACCTAGGTACTTGTACCTAAGATGACGCCATAAGAGGCAGACACTGTAAAAGCTTTTCACTGTACTTCTGCAATGGAGTACATGTGGCAATAAAGGATATTCTATTGACATATTCATTGTGCTCCCTACTAACTCCAGGTTGGACAGAATAGTTCTAATGGAGGGAAAACAGAGTTAATATTTTGAGTCCCGTGACCCCTCTTCTTTTTTATTCATTTGTGGGATGTGGACGTCGCTAGCTGCACCAGCATTTATTGCCGTCCCTAGTTGCCCTTGAGAAGGTGGTGGTGAGGTGCCTTCTTGAACCGCTGCAGTCCACCTGCTGTGAGTTGACCCATAATGCCAGGATTTTGACCCAACAACAGTAAAGGAACGGTGATATATTTCCAAGTCAGGATGGTGAGTGACT